TACCCTTAGCACGAACCATTGTCGAATTTAATATCTAATTCGTAACGTTTGCGAGTCCGAAATGTTTTTGTCAAATACACATTTGACATTAATTGATTTTTGTCATTGTCAAAAATCAGTACACACTGATTTTTAGTTCTCCTTACGTACTTTGTGGTACTGTTGTTCAAGTTTCCATACAAAATATGACATTGACATTTCGCACTCGCAAACTATTCGAATTCGATAATGGTTCGTACTAGGGGTACTGTATCCTTAGCACGAATAAAGCACGAGACGTGAGCTGCTGCGTGTGCGTTACAAGATGCAGTTTGTAAGCTATCTATTTTAGCGGCCAAATAAGGCCGCGGACAAAAATCCTCCGTCTGCACAGGCCCTTACATCGAAGGTTCATATTAATCGTAGCGAAATCCTCGGAACAGGTTCTTCCGGTCTCAGCCTCAGGTTCACACATCTTGAGATTATAAAAAATCTAAAATGTATATCTAGTCCAGGCAACGAATGCTCAAAAACAGGTATAGAGGGAATTGCTTAGAACACAATTTTTGACTTCGTGACTTTGTTAGGACTAGTTAGGAGGTAAACATATCAAAAGTCCCCGCCCGTAGCCCTTAAGCCGGGGGGAGGGGGGGGGGGGGGGCTTGAAGGTCCCATTTTTAGGTTTTTCGCATATATCTCAAAAACTATGCATCCTAGCGACATGAGACTTTCACAAAAGTGAAAGCTGATTAAATTTGCTACAAGTCTTATTCAGTCAAATTTTTTGATATCTTGTATAGTTTTCGAGATATCCGCTCTTGAAAGTCTGTAATTATGGAAAAAAAAATTGTTCCCATTTTTGCTCTATTTGACCGGATAACTCTTCAACAATGCACCCAAAAAATAAATGCCGGCCGTAGGGTTGTAGAGCATTAAATTATCTTCAATAATAGAAACAATTGCCTTTTTTTTTATTTAAGGACAAAATTGTTAGGGTAGTGGACGTATGGGGGCGGTACGGTGGGCACAAGGCCGCGTACTCAGCCCCCACGCGCGGGCCGTCCTGCGCACGTCTGTGGGGTCCTCGCGATACCCCGGGCGACCCCTGCCGCGGAACCTCGGCAAGGCCGGGAGGCTGCTAGGTGCGGAGACGCGGAAGAATCCCTAAACGGGGATTTCGCGGCTTCGCACTAAGCAGCTTAGAGGGTGTTCGCAGGGTTTTTTAGCGGATATTATGCCGTAAAGCGCCCGTAAGGGTTACGGGGTCCTCAGTGGGCAGGCACTGCTGGGGCTCGTAAGGCTTGCGGGAGCCAGGTGTGAGGTCCGTTCGGCGGTGTGCCTCTTAAAGGCGCCGTCGTCTGTAAATAGTATTTTTTGCCTGCGTATAAAAAAAAGGGGGTAGTAGACGTATTGACTAAAGGGGGTGCCTGCGTCGCCCGGTAAGAAAACTGGCAGTGTTGGCCGTTACCTAAATAAGTAGGTGTCTACACCGCCGGGGGCCATGTTCACGACCAAAAATACCTATTATATGAATTTTCGATTTTCTGTCGATGCACGAAAGACTGTGCAAGCGCGAAGTGAGGCTGCAAAAAAGCAAGCCTCAAATGTTCCCCAGCGTACCAAAATTGCCAGGGGAACTGCTTGAATGGGGTCCCTCAAGTTGACTCCGAAGGTGAAGAAGAACAGGAGGATCCTCTGACCGTTTCCCTACAGGGTTCCGATGGAGAAGATGACACTGAAAATGAAAATGTAAACGAAGACGAGGATCAAGGTTCTTCCCACCCCAAAAGAGCAAGAAATTGACTATATTGGATTTTTTTACAAATCTCTTTTTGCACGTCATAGTGAATTGTATCTAAAACAGCTGCCGTATTCGTACCTGTATAGCCAATGAGAACCGAAAAAAAACCAGAGGCACAGGGCCCTACCGTCTCAATTTTTTTAAATGTCCTGTTTTATAATTTTAATTATTCTTAATACTACTTTTTGTGTTGAGCTGGACCAATACAACACCAGACAATCTTATCATTTAAATAATCATCTAATTTATAATAACCTTTTTTGCATAAAGTAGTTAACTCTTACAGTTTTTTTTAACTTATTTTCTGGATTAAGTGTGAAGAACCTGGTCAGTGGGCCAACAAGTACATATTCTAAAATGAGCATGTGTGCTATTTAGACATCGGTGCATCGTTGAAAAGTTATCCGAGAGTTATCCGGTCAAATAGAGCATAAATGTAAAGCGATTTTTTTTTCTATAATTATAGATTTTCAAGAGCGGATATCATTATTACAGATATTATTATTAGATAATTACAGTTTCTCAATGACACTAATTTACTTTCTTTTTTACTTATGGACCTCACACCTGGCTCCCGCAAGCCTTACGAGCCCCAGCAGTGCCTGCCCACTGAGGACCCCGTAACCCTTACGGGCGCTTTACGGCATAATATCCGCTAAAAAACCCTGCGAACACCCTCTAAGCTGCTTAGTGCGAAGCCGCGAAATCCCCGTTTAGGGATTCTTCCGCGTCTCCGCACCTAGCAGCCTCCCGGCCTTGCCGAGGTTCCGCGGCAGGGGTCTCCCGGGGTATCGCGAGGACCCCACAGACGTGCGCAGGACGGCCCGCGCGTGGGGGCTGAGTACGCGGCCTAGTGCCCACCGTACCGCCCCCATACGTCCACTACCCTAACAATTTTCTCCTTAAATAAAAAAAAAAAGGCAATTGTTTCTATTATTGAAGATAATTTAATGCTCTACAACTCTACGGCCGGCATTTATTTTTTGGGTGCATTGTTGAAGAGTTATCCGGTCAAATAGAGCAAAAATGGGAACAAACTTTTTTTCCATAATTACAGACTTTCAAGAGCGGATATCTCGAAAACTATACAAGATATCAAAAATTTGACTGAATAAGACTTGTAGCAAATTTAATCAGCTTTCACTTTTGTGAAAGTCACATGTCGCTAGGATGCATAGTTTTTGAGATATATGCGAAAAACCTAAAAATGGGACCTTCAAGCCCCCCCCCCCCTCCCCCCGGCTTAAGGGCTACGGGCGGGGACTTTTGATATGTTTACCTCCTAACTAGTCCTAACAAAGTCACGAAGTCAAAAATTGTGTTCTAAGCAATTCCCTCTATACCTTTTCGTTGCCTGGACTAATCTGCAAGTCCCCATGATGCGTCAATGTGCCGCACTCAGGCACGCCACGTCATTTACCGTTTACGACACCGCGCCGTATCATGTAGCCAGGCCCTAACATATGCTAGACGCCTCGCTACAAGTTGTGTTATGTTATTACTAGCATATTTCTTATTCTGCTGTTTGTTCGTCATGAATGAAAAAAGATACGCCATTTGTTTTATTTGTTGAGCAGCCTTTGATAGTAGAACAAATGGGAAAAGTTATTAGAACAGCAGAGTTGGGGTTTTAGGGCCCACCACGCCGTTGCGTGCTCTTAACGCAAAGCACGCCCTCAGTTGTTCTATTTGCTTAGGGCGTCATAAGTTTACTGGAATCTAATAGAAATAACTACAATTTATGTTATCAGATGTAGGTACAAGGGCAAGATGACCCCGAAGGAGGTACTTCTTTCCACTTATTTTTCTTAATAATTAAGAACACCTGAAAGCTACTTTATCATTGTAAGATATTTAACCTATATCCAAAACCTATTTAGTTTAAGAAAGACCAATTAATGGACCTCAATTATGTATCGGAATATGCGTCCATAATATTACGGCCGCTATATGACGGCACCTCTAGCCTGGGAAATCAATCATAGCTTAACGGTGCCCTCATTATAGCGGTCGTAATATGATGGACGAAAAAGATGGCCGTTTTACGGTGATGACGTGCAGAAAGTTCCACCTTCGTATTAGTGTGTTAATACGAAGGTGGAACTTTGATCATCTTTTTTTGTTACGTACGAAATTACTTATAAAAATATAGTCAGCTGGGAGCAGCGGGGTTGGAGCTGGAAATAATTTTTGTACGTCGTTCCGGTCAAAAAAAGTAGGTACAGCTTCGTAAAAATGTGAGGAGACAAAGTGGTCAAACACATGTTATGAGCAAAGGTTCAATTATATCATTGCATTTAAAGTTATCTAAATTTTGTACACAACCAACCAGTCTTATATTTTTTCAGATCAAGTCTCCAAATACATATACAGCATTACAATAGTCTTTAATATGTACGCGTCGTAACTGTTCATTGGTATTGGTCCATTGTACTCATAAATATCTTCGCTTACATAGATTATTCAATTTAAATAAAATTAAAGGTTCCAGTACACATATCAACTCAGAAAGGGATCGTCACCGCATCAACTCGAGCCGTTCAGTATTCTTTGTGTGAAACTATACTGTAACGCACACTAATCGGAATTGTAACGTAATCGCCACGACTCCGGACAAGCTCTTGAGCCGCGATGGTCAATTTGCAGTTCCCGCGTTTACGTCTCTCCGTACCCTAACTTACGTCGTCTCTTCGTCCACGCCCCTCCCGCTGACTCACGTTAGGATCCAAAATGATGGAACTGGTGCCGCCTAGCCGTCAACCATCGGTCAGCAAGCGGTAAGAGCGGCGTCTCGCCTAGCCGTAGCCGAGTCAACATACTGGAGCTGCTTGTTCGCTTTCTCTAATGGGCTCAAATATAGGTGGACGCCTGTTTGACGGCAAGCTGAAAGGGGAGTAGGCCCCTGATCAGCATCCCCGATTGCAGTAGTGCAATCATGAGCAGCTTCATCATCAGTGGTATCCATCTTCAAGGTGTTTTTTTTGTGAAATATCTTCTCGTGTGTCCTCTTCAACGGTTGGATAGCGAATAACCCGTTGATTTTTTTTGATTCCGCCCAGGCTGGGGAGCTGGTGTGAAATCCTCATGGATAACCTACAGCTTGGTGAAAGGTTATGTCCGACTCCTACAGACTAAACACACCCGTAATTCATGCTTATGGCCGGAAGTGCCTTACAAGCTTCATCTGAAGCGATCATCTCCTGAGAGGGGGATGATGCAGCCCCCATTGAACCTATATTAACCCTTTTATATCCAATAAAGGTAGCGCAAGTAGTGACCCTTTTGGGAAGCAAAATTGGCATTTTTTCTTAAAGTCACATTTGTGGTATCAACTTTTTTTGTTTGTTTTTAAGTTTATTTAATGGGCTTTCAAATGACACCAATATTGGTTGGGCTACATGCGCGTGTTAAGTGTTAATGAGTGCAGTAATCAAGAATAAGTAGCAACTCGTTAAAATTTTCAATAAACCAAAAAGTGAAAAAATTGCATAGGGCAGTTTGCACTAACAGATAATATCGGCACTCCCTAAGTTATAAAAAGGCAATCATTTTTAAAATTTATTTTAATCACTAATTGAATAAAGACTTCTGTGGGACTTGCAATTGCTATAGACCTTACTTATTACTTCGATAATATTTCGGATCTTCTCATTCCTGAATAAAAAAATGCGTGATTAATAATATTGCTCAATAGGGATGCAAAATGCAGTGCTTGCCTTTGTCGAGCTGCGCCTGCTTGTTATTGGCAACCTAGTCTGCACAGTATGATATGTATATTTTTCATGTAATAATGATTGTTTTTCTTTACAAATCTTAGGAAAAAAAAATGCAATTACTTTTTTTTTCCTAAAATTGGTTTTGTTTTTATGTACTAAGATAAACAAAGTGATAAGTTTTATAAATCGTCATGTAATTATTGTTATTTACTATGTGGTTATGCACAGTATGTTGAACAGCTACTTCTACATCTCGGCGGCTTACAAGATATAATCGGGCAACATTTTTGAGGTAGACGCGGTAGTATACCGCAGCACCTAACGCAAACGCCGGGAAGACTACGGCAGCGTACCACTGGGCAGCACTTAGACCGGTTTGAACAAGGAGATATACGTTTTCGATGAGCTTTGATTCTCGGGTGGCTTTTACATTTCCTTGATTTCTTGCGGACCATTGCACATGGTGGTAAGCATGGAGAGCTCGTATAAGAAGATCCTCGATATGTAGTGTCACAAAAAGAAGATGGAGTGCATAAAGGTGGGCAGGGTGGGCAGAGAGAACACGGGCTGCAGGGTGGTGGCGGAAAAGGCCGGCAGGGCGAAGGAGGGCAAGGTCGGCAACTTCTGCAAGGTGAAGAAGGACAAGGAAGGCACCTCCTGCATGGCTTACAACGCATCGGGGGGCAAGGTTTGCAGCGCCTGCATGACCGACATGGAGAGGAAGGCTTGCAAGGCGGTGGTGACTCACAGGGAGAACAAGGTCTACAGCGACCACATGGCTTGCAGGGAGGAGGTCGACAGGGTCGTTTGAATATCTTACGTGGCGGTGGACAAGGTCTGCAAGGCTTACATTGTTTACAAGGTTTGCATGGCGAGCAAGGTCTACAGCGTGGTGGTGTACAAGGTCTTCTTGGTTTGCAAGGCCGACAAGGCTTACTACAAACTTTGTTACAGCAGAAGCTGCAAGGCACAGATCGACATGGAGGGCCGCACGGCTTTCTGCACCCATTAGGTTTGCATGGCGTAGGTCGGCATACAATCATTTTACATTTTGAAGGATGACATGATGGCACTGTCGGTGAACAAGGTAGTATACATGGCGTGATGCAAGATGGTTGGTTAGGTGGAGGTGTCCACTCAAGCATCAATTCATTTTTAGCTAATGGTGCTCCCGTCATCTTACGAATGACAAGTTCAAATACCCCTCGCCTGGGATTGCTCACGGTTGTGACTTTGACTGGGGCCTTTTCTTCACCGGATGAAGCCACAATACATTTAGGTCCTTGGCATGGTTCTTTGCCATGGACTGGACATGGCTCTCGAGGCCCAAGTTTTATGTGTGATACTGTGGCTACCATATCTCCCTTGACAGATTGCGCTATTGCGGGACAAGTGCTTTCATTGCAACTTTTATCTTCTTTAATTGAAACTGTTTTCGTACTTGTTCCAGTGGAAGCTCCAGTGACCTTATTTGTTTGAATAGGTATTGAATTTGTTTGTCCTCCTCTCTGAAGTTTAACTTTTTTTCCCATCTCCATCTGTTCAGGGTTCGGTGGATCTCTTTTCCGTCCAAAAAAATAAACATCAGAGTATCTCATTCTATCAATTTTCTTATTTCCGTAATATGGATTCGTTGTCATTGTACAAGAGGAATAATTACAGGAATTTGAGCTTATAGTGTTTGGTCTCCTTGTACTTATATCACTTTCATTTTGTATTTGTAAACATTTATTTATTGATGCAGTAGCTTGAGTTCCTGCTGTAGATCGAGACCTTAAACTGTGATTGTAAGACAGGTCGTCATAAAGCGTCATGTAAACTGCTGTTTCTTTGGTTCCAAAAAAGAGATCGTTTTCCAGATCAAATGAATCATGTTCACTATTCAAATAATCGCTTTGAGAGTTGTTTGCATAATCTAATGTATTAAATAGTGGGATACTTTGTTTATTTGACTCTATTGAATCAAATGCAAACGTTGAAATATTTTCATATACCGTGTAAGATTCAGACGGCTGCATGCTGTAATCTGGCAATCTAGCAAATTGTTTTTGAATATTACTTCTCTCATTGCATTCCTTGATGTTAGCTAATACAATCTCACTCATAAATAGTCGGTCCGTTTGCATAGTTGTCATCAGGTTTATCTTCTGCTCCTTAATTATTTCTTGCGTGTACGGCTTCTTCAGCAATTCACCTACGACCAGTTGATATTTTAAGTCGGTTAGAAACCAGAATTACATGATAAAATATAATTGTGATGAAGATAAGGTTGGAGCTTAAAAATATTATGAAATAATAACACTTTTTTAAATAATAATATAATGTTAAAATAAAATAGAAATGATTGACAATTAATTTAAAAACCAAAATTAACACATCGTAAATAAAATTTTAACTTCTGCGTCTATTAAGACAACCGCTTGGGCAGCATGGCACGCATTGCGCAGTGCGGGTATCTTTCACGGGAATTTCCTTAGTTCGTATCTTAGAAGGTGTTATAAACTGATATTCCAATTTCGATTTTCGGCCAGGCATTTCCATGGTTTTTCCGATTCTTAATTTTATCACTTGATTAGGGAAGTCATAAACTACTCCAGGGTAGTCATCAGCGCTTGCAGGCGTCACCTGGCCAGGTTCATCTCTTGCCATGTCACCCACTCCATCAGAATTCATATTAAAATAGACGCGTTGTTTATGGTTCAAACCACAGGAGTCCTGAGGCATTTGAAAAACCACCTTGTTCCCCGTCGGACAGCAATCTGCACAATTGGTGAGTAGGTCAAACGAAAACTAATGATAACGTTAGGTAAAGGTAGGTAAGGTACAGTACATTAAGGGATATATTAGAAGTGTATTTTCTAAAACTATTAAATTTTGATAATACAGCTGGTAATAATATATAAAACCTAAATCTTAAAGTTATTTACTGGATAATTTATTGTTTCTTCTTTCCTTTTGGTTTTTTAAGTCTTTTTACACAACATTCGCAGTCTAGGTCGGATTGTAGCCTTGTATTTACTTTTTGAATGGGTGGAATTTTATCAGGTCCTTTGGGCGTTACCAGCTCAACTTCAAATTTACACTTTCTATCGCCTTGCAATGCTGTCTTTGCTACTTTTAATACAAAACTATCTTTGTTAACAGCTGGCGCGTCGTTTTTTACATCACCACGAGCTAAAGCCGATTGCTGTCCATGCTTAGATGCTTGTGTACAACCTTCTGTTGTACACGTAAATTGTGTGTCTGCGAGACGGGCTCCATGGCAACAGATGTCCTCGTTGGGAAGAGCTAAGCTTATTTGATTTTTTCCACAAGGTGGTTCACATGGTCCACCAACAACCCCCTTTGCGTAAGGATATGTCATAGAGCAATGTGTCTGGCTGATCTTCTTAACAATGGATGCAGAAGCTGGTACTTTGATCTTTAGCTCATTGCCACCAAGATTCGTGCCTATCTCTTCAAATTGCTTTCCACGACCTGGCCATTAATAAATGTTTCTCAAGCATTCACTTCATGACTAAAGCTTATAAATAGTAGAGACTTTACCCACCTTTGGTACTGGGTTCGATTTCCAGTTTTAAAATTTGTCTGATTGTCGGTCACAGTACAATAAAATGTGATTTACAAAACACAAACCTATATTTAAATTAGACTTGCAACGAATATTCGGTTACTATTTGGTATTCGGCCTAATACCGAATAATTAAATAATATAGTTTGTCATAGAGAATAAATAATTGGTAAAATGAAAAATGAAAATCGATTGATTACGTATATATTCATAGTTTCATTTCTGTTATATAATGATTTAAGTAATCATTGGTACATAACACAGGTAAATAATCATCTTCTGAAATGGAGGATTCTATGTATTTGAATTATTGTGGTAATCAAAATTTAGAAGGGTAAGGTTCTCATTTCTTTTATAATCATTTATTAAGTAGTCATTGGTACATAAAACAGGTACATAATTTAATCATTTTCTGTGTTAAACAAGTTAACAGTTTTTAATTTATTCAGTCATGTGATGAATGGTTACATAATAGCAATAATTTAAGGTTTACGCGCCGGTTTTGGCCATATCTCAAAAGTTGGTTTTGTCATTTAGCCGTATTTTAGATTGAGGACGGCAGATTAGAACAAAACAAAGGAGCGCGAAACAATCACGTCTGTACAAGTTTTTGGCGCTAAAATCGAGCCTAATACTTTTGCCTAATATTCGGCTATTCGGTCAGGGGCCTCGCCGAATATTCGGTATACTGCCGAATATACTATTCGTTGCAAGTCTAATTTAAATATATATGTATATTACACAACAGAATGAAAAGCTAATATATATATTATAGCTATTCGAATCTAATCTAATATGTAATCTTATCCAACAAATATAATATTGAAAATGATTTACTTATTTAATAATCCTTAATATTCCGCGTTCAGAGACGTCAACAAATTTAAGTTTAGTTAAAATTTATATTGGCCGTTAAGTATATTACCAGAACTAAATAAGGCTATCCGTCACTTTGAGAACTGATTAAACTTAATTGACATTTCTGGGTGCGACCAAAAGAATGCTTATAGCTTAAACTTGAAATTAGCTTCGAGAGGGTGAAAAGGCTATTTGATTTAACCACAAATTTGGAAACTGTACAACCTGTAAAGTATAAAATTTTAGTAAAAACAAAAACATAAAAACATTTATTACGAAATATAAAGCGCTCAGATTTGTTAGAAACCTCAAACAAAGCAGAAAAACTAGCTGATTTTAAAATAATCATAAGTCAATATCACAAACATTGTCGCTGAAACCAAATAGCTATTCACTCCTCGATTATGTTTATAACTATATCTATAAATGGATATCAACAAATTCACATTTTACTAAAATAATCGCTGAAACAAATCGATAATATACATGCAACATCGTTTTTTTCTTACCTTTTGGTATATGAAGACAATATTGGTCTGTATTCCTACAAGCCATTGGGTCTTTTGGTGGTGGTTTCGGGCCAGTGCAATAGCATGGGTCATCCGGATCTTGACATGGCATAATATTATATAGGTCACGTGCTGCAATTAAGTATTGGTTTTATTTAATATATTTACAAACATTTCATAAAAAAAATATCATACGATATTCAGGTACAAATTTTGCTGGATTCTATCATTAGGTTAGCACGGTCATATATTTTAGTCCTTAAATACCTGGTGGGCAAACACCTCCTCCTCCACCGCCGATTCCACCTCCCATGGTTCCTTCATTTCCACCTGCGGCACCAAGGCCAGCACTTCCTCTAGCAGCGCCACAAGCACAAGGCTCTTGTGATGTTTGGAACTCTCTCTGGGGGTTACATGAGCGATCTACAATAGCATTCCCCCCACCAGCACTTAGGGCAGGGGGGCCTCCTCCTTGGAAACGAGTGATTATCAATTTTCCAAAGCAAGATATGCGTAGGAACATAACTATTTCCCCCGTCTCCGTGCCATCAGGACCAAAGATACGGAAGGAGTCTTTCAACGCCTGATAGCTTACATTATTCGGATCTGTTAAAAAGTTCTTGCGAGCTTCGACGAACTCTTTTGTCATATCGATGGTCGTTTCTCCCATCACGATTTTGGTCGGTAGGCAACCGCATGGCAAAGATTTGTAGATTGACACTTTGACAGGAAATTTACTCATAGCGGCTGATATTTCAGATTCCTTTAGAGAAAACAGGCACGATTTTCCGCTGTTGAAATTTTTAACAAAAGGTCCCATACTTTTGGATGTACTAACACCAGGGTCATCATCGCAAATCTCTAAAGGTTCTATGTTTGAACACTCGATGTTGACACATGTTCTGAAATCTTTGTCGGAGAAGCAAGGACTCTTTATAAATACGACTTTATCGATTAGTACCTCCAGGAGGAAGAGGCCGTCATCTTGTTTCGTCATTTTAAATTTATTGGAGATGGGAAATTTTATTTTATTTATTTTCCAAAACTATTGTGTAGTCATTTTTTAAGATTTTGTCAGATTTAAACAAAAGACGAAGTGACGTAAGAAGATTCAATGGTTCCATTCTCTTTGAATAAAAAAAATGTGTATTTCTCAGGGACACACGAGACATGGGCACAGTTTACCGAAATCCTAAATCCATGAACAACCTTCAGTAAAGAACGTTATGTTTAGAATTCAGAACAATAACCATACGTCCCCTCTGTTACCATACCACCATAGGCACCATCATAGCAGATATGAACATGGATTAAAAAATTAGCAAGTTTATGCCCATCTTACTGCCGTTGCGAAATTACAAAAATATAAATAAATTGGATTTGAAACAAGAAACCACAACAGATCGTAGTGAAAACCTCGCAAAAGGTACGCACTTGGGCTAAAAGTTTTCTTCATTAAGATTAGACAGGTAGCACTGGATCGACCATGACTAGTCGAGTCTCCCTTTTCCAATGGATTAAAAATATGGTTATTTAAATGTATCATGGACTTAATTATAAGTCCATGATATAATTTACCCATCTAGAACGAATATGACGTTGATATTGTTCTTTATTTACGGTGTCATTTTATATGTACCGGCTTTCCGGTGGAACGATTGACCAAAATTGGTGGGCCCGAGAGCCCCATGCTTTTATGTTAGGTTTTAGACTAAAACATGAAATAAAAACTCTATTAGGCTATGTACCGACGGTATGACTATTTAATTTAATGTGACAGCTATTATATGTGATGCAATTGGGTGAGCGATATAAACAACTGAAGTCAATCGTGTGTATTTTTACCCGACTGCGCGCGAAGCGCGACGCGCAGAACGTATATTAAGCTAGCAGACCATGGTCGCAACGCGCACATCTAACCTACTGGGTATTAAGTTGCTAATTAGTTGCTAATTAGTTACACTATTCCCGATTTAGTTGCTCAACACCTGTAAAAGATACATGCGATCTGCTAGCTTAAGTCTTAACCTAGCAGACCACAATACTGTATCTTCGGTTCTCGTAAAGATATCGAAGTTCTGCAAACGGCATATTTAGTTGCTAATTAGTTGCTAATTAGTTACACTATTCCCGATTTAGTTGCTCAACACCTGTAAAAGATACATGCGATCTGCTAGCTTAAGTCTTAACCTAGCAGACCACAATACTGTATCTTCGGTTCTCGTAAAGATACCGAAGTTCTGCAAACGGCATATTTAGTTGCTAATTAGTTACTGTAGGACAGCATTATTTGTTTTATCCCCCCATCATCCCTTAATTGCCGAACCAGCACCCACACTACCCCCGAAATACGAAAAATTTAAAAAGGCTCATCAGAGAATATAAACTACGGCGTATTTCGTTGCTAATTAGTTGCTGCAAAATAGCGTTGCTTATAGTATTTAACTATCAACCCTTAACTCCAAATCAGCACTGCAACCACCCCCGAATAGGACGATATCGAAAAATTCACGTAGGTGGAAAGACGCGCGGCATATTTAGTTGCTAATTAGTTGTTTGCCAAAAACGCAGTTAAGAGTATTCTACAATCATCCCCTAACCTCAGATGCAACCCCTCTACTCACTTAGAAACAGTAGATGGTTAAAATTCTCACGCAGTTGTTTAAGACTGCTGGATGTTTTGTTGTTAATTAGTTGCTGAAAAATAGCGTTGCTTATAATATTTGATTATCAACCCTTAACTCCAGATCATCCCTGCAACCACCCCAGAATAGGACGATATCGGAAAATTTTCGTAGGTGGAAAATAGACGCGGCATATTTAGTTGCTAATTAGTTGCTCGCCAAAACGCAGTTAAGAGTATTCTACAATCATCCCCTAACCTCAGATCCAACCCCTCTACTCACTTAAAAATAGTAGATGGTTCGAATTCGCACGCAGATGTTTAAAACTGCTGGATATTTTTTTGCTAATTAGTTGCTCGCCAAAAACACAATTAAGAGTATTCTACAATCATCCCCTAACCTCAGATCCATCCCCTCTACTCACTTAAAAATAGTAGATGGTTCGAATTCAAACGCAGACGTTTAAAACTGCTGGATATTTTGTTGCTAATTAGTTGCTGCGAAAAAGCGTTGCTTATAGTATTTAACTATCAACCCTTAACTCCAGATCATCCCTGCAACCACCCCAGAATAGGACGATATCGGAAAATTCTCGTAGGTGGAAAAAAGACGCGGCATATTTAGTTGCTAATTAGTTGCTCGCCAAAACCGCAATTAAGAGTATTCTACAAACATCCCCTAACCTCAGATGCAACCCCTCTACTCACTTAGAAACAGTAGATGATTAAAATTCGCACGCAGATGTTTAAGACTGCTGGATGTTTTGTTGTTAATTAGTTGCTGAAAAATAGCGTTGCTTATAATATTTGATTATCAACCCTTAACTCCAGATCATCCCTGCAACCACCCCAGAATAGGACGATATCGGAAAATTCTCGTAGGTGGAAAATAGACGCGGCATATTTAGTTGCTAATTAGTTGCTCGTCAAAAACGCAGATAAGAGTATTCTACAAACATTCCCTAACCTTAGATGCAACCCCTCTACTCACTTAGAAACAGTAGATGGTTGGAATTCGCACGCGGATGTTTAAAACTGCTGGATGTTCTGTTGCTAATTAGTTGCTCGCCAAAAACGCAGATAAGAGTATCCTGCAATCATCCCCTAACCTCAGATCCATCCCCTCTACTCACTTAAAAATAGTAGATGGTTCGAATTCAAACGCAGATGTTTAGAACTGCTGGATATTTTGTTGCTAATTAGTTGCTGCGAAAAAGCGTTGCTTATAGTATTTAACTATCAACCCTTAACTCCAGATCATCCCTGCAACCACCCCAGAATAGGACGATATCGGAAAATTCTCGTAGGTGGAAAAAGGACGCGGGATATTTAGTTGCTAATTAGTTGTTCGCCAAAAACGCAGTTATGAGTATTCTACAATCATCCCCTAACCTCAGATGCAACTCCTCTACTCACTTAGAAACAGTAGATGGCTAAAATTCGCACGCAGATGTTTAAGACAGCTGGATGTTTTGTTGTTAATTAGTTGCTGAAAAATATCGTTGCTTATAATATTTGATTATCAACCCTTAACTCCAGATCATCCCTGCAACTACCCCAGAATAGGACGATATCGGAAAATTCTCGTAGGTGGAAAAAAGACGCGGGATATTTAGTTGCAGTACTCAGAGGGGGTGGATCTGAGGTTAGGGGATGTTTGTAGAATACTCTTATCTGCGTTTTTGACGAGCAACTAATTAGCAACTAAATATGCCGCGTCTATTTTCCACCTACGAGAATTTTCCGATATCGTCCTATTCTGGGGTGGTTGCAGGGATGATCTGGAGTTAAGGGTTGATACCCTTATCTGCGTTTTTGGCGAGCAACTAATTTGCAACAGAACATCCAGCAGTTTTAAACATCCGCGTGCGAATTCCAACCATCTACTGTTTCTAAGTGAGTAGAGGGGTTGCATCTGAGGTTAGGGGATGTTTGTAGAATACTCTTAATTGTGGTTTTGGCGAGCAACTAATTAGCAACTAAATATGCCGCGTCTATTTTCCACCTACGAGAATTTTCCGATATGGTCCTATTCTGGGGTGGTTGCAGGGATGATCTGGAGTTAAGGGTTGATAATCAAATATTATAAGCAACGCTATTTTTCAGCAACTAATTAACAACAAAACATCCAGCAGTCTTAAACATCTGCGTGCGAATTTTAACCATCTACTGTTTCTAATTGAGTAGAGGGGTTGCATCTGAGGTTAGGGGATGTTTGTAGAATACTCTTAATTGCGTTTTTGGCGAGCAACTTATTAGCAACAGAACATCCAGCAGTCTTAAACATCTGCGTGCGAATTTTAACCATCTACTGTTTCTAAGTGAGTAGAGGGGTTGCATCTGTGGTTAGGGGATGTTTTGGCGAGCAACTAATTGGCAACTAAATATGCCGCGTCTTTTTTCCACCTACGAGAATTTTCCGATTTCGTCCTATTCTGTGGTGGTTGCAGGGATGATCTGGAGTTAAGGGTTGATAGTTAAATACTATAAACAACTCTTTTTCGCAGCAACTAATTAGCAACAAAATATCCAGCAGTTTTAAACGTCTGCGTTTGAATTCGAACCATTTACTATTTTTAAGTGAGTAGTGGGGATGGATCTGAGGTTAGGGGATGATTGTAGAATACTGTTAATTGTGTTTTTGGCGCGCAACTAATTAGCAACAAAATATCCAGCAGTTTCAAACATCTGCGTGCGAATTCGAACCATCTACTATTTTTAAGTAAGTAGAGGGGTTGGATCTGAGGTTAGGGGATGATTGTAGAATACTCTTAACTGCGTTTTTGGCGAGCAACTAATTAGCAACTAAATATGCCGCGTCTATTTTCCACCTACGAAAATTTTCCGATATCGTTCTATTCTGGGGTGGTTGCAGGGATGATCTGGAGTTAAGGGTTGATAATCAAATATTATAAGCAACGCTATTTTTAGCAACTAATTAACAACAAAACATCCAGCAGTCTTAAACAACTGCGTGCGAATTTTAACCATCTACTGTTTCTAAGTGAGTAGAGGGGTTGCATCTGAGGTTAGGGGATGATTGTAGAATACTCTTAATAGCGTTTTTGGCAAACAACTAATTAGCAACTAAATATGCCGCGTCTTTTTCCACCTACGAGAATTTTCCGATATCGTCCTATTCGGGGGTGGTTGCAGTGCTGATTTGGAGTTAAGGGTTGATAGTTAAATACTATAAGCAACGCTATTTTGCAGCAACTAATTAGCAACGAAATACGCCGTAGTTTATATTCTCTGATGACCCCTTTTTAAATTTTTCGTATTTCGGGGGTAGTGTGGGTGCTGGTTCGGCAATTAAGGGATGATGGGGGGATAAAACAAATAATGCTGTCCTACAGCAACTAATTAGCAACTAAATATGCCGTTTGCAGAACTTCGGTATCTTTACGAGAACCGAAGATACAGTATTGTGGTCTGCTAGGTTAAGACTTAAGCTAGCAGATCGCATGTATCTTTTACAGGTGTTGAGCAACTAAATCG